TGCATTGGAGATGCCAAAAGGTTACAAGTGCCAAAGCCAGGGATATCTGTTAAGAAGTCCTATCCACCAGGTGGACCTAGCCCAAGAGACAAATGCATCTTGTAGGCAAGAAAGCTGAACAGCAGAGCCATATAAGCTACTTGGCATTAGAGATGTAGCTAAAGGAATTGGAGTTTGACCTGTTGGGTTTTGATCTTGCTTTGTTGCAGTATTTCCTCACTATGTCCTATTTTAGACCCTTTGTAATGCTGATGTATATTCTTTGCCATTATATGTTGGAAATATGGAATGGGCTTTTTATTTTATAGTAGATTACAATAGAGAGATTGTATTGAGTTTCAGAAAAGACTTTGATCTTTGGACTCTTAAACAGTGTTGAGACTGAAAAACTATAAGGACTTTTGAAGTTGGACTAAATGCATTTTGTATTAGGATATGGCCACACTTATGGGAACCAGGGAGTGGAATGTAGTCATTTGAATGCAAATGTTCCCCATAAGCTCATATGTTTAAATATTTGATCCTTAGTTGGTGGAACTTTTAGAGAAGGATTAGGAGGTATGTTCTTATTGAAGGAGGTGTGTAATAGGGACAGCTTTGATGTTTCCAAAGACTCATGCCATTCCTCATGCCATTCCTAGTGTCCCTCCTCTCTGTCTCTGTCTCTGACTCTCTCTCCTCTTTCTCTCTGCCTCCTACCTGCAAATTAAGATTTGAGCTTAGCAACAGAAAAGTAAATAAGACAAAGACCAAATTTATAAATGAGCACAGGAGAAGCACAGACTAAAGGCCTAGAAAACATAATCAATGAAACTATAGCAGCAAACTCCCCTTATCTAGAAAAAGAAATGTCAACCTAGAAATGAGCCATTTGGAACATCAGCAAGAAAGGACCAGAAAAGAACTGTATATCCATGCTGTGGATATCACTCTGTATGCTGTGAATGTGTTGTTCTGATTGGTTAATAAATAAAGTGCTGATTGGCCAGTAGCCAGGCAGGAAGTATAGGCAGGACAAAGAGAGAGGAGAATTCTGGGAACAGGAAGGCTGAGTCAGGAGTCACCAGCCAGACACAGAGGAAGCAAGATGTGAAGGCAGAACTGGGAAAAGGTACCAAGCCATGTGGCTAAACATAAATAAGAATTATGGGTTAATTTAAGTGTAAGATCTAGCTAGCAAGAAGCCTGAGGCATTAGGCCAATCAGTTTTAATTAATATAAGCATCTGTGTGTTTATTTGGGTCTGAGCAGCTGTGGGCCCAGGCAGGACTGGAGAAAACTCCAGCTATACACACACACACACACACACACACACACACACACACACACACACACCACATTATCTAAAACAAGGAAAGAATATGAAAATTTGCTAGAAAGAACAAATCACATACAAGGCAAAACCATCAGAACAACAGCAGATTTAGAAACAGAAGGAGGACAGGGAATAATACATTTTAAACTCTATAAAACAGCAATTTCCAACCCAGATTACTACATACTATTCAATAATAACTCCAAATGTTAATGACCTCAAGTCTCTAATTAAAAATGACAGATTAGTAGATTAAATTAAAAACAAGACCCACGTATTTATTGCCTGCAAGAAATATATCTCATGGAAAAAAAGGATGGAAATTGGCATTCCAAGTAAATAGAACTAAAAAAAAGAGGAAAGTGTAGCTATACTAATATTTGGCAAATTATACTTCAAATCAAAGTTTCACAATGATTATGGGGACAGTCTGTCATGAGGATATATAAATTCTAAATATATATGGACATTAACATATGTATTGCTCACGCTACCACCCGTTCACCATGTCTGAGTGAGGGGGTTAGGATTAAAAACAGAGACAAGACAGCAGGTCATTCGTCTCAGTAGAATGCCGAATGCCATTTATTGAAGGAGGGAAGAGGCCTTAAATACAGGCTTACAGCACAGTGAGACAACCCCGGAGGGCAGAAGTTTGCTACAGATGTTTTACATTCTTTCATCCTAGCTGTTTACACCAATATGCATGATACACAAACAAGGAACCTCACATAAGCTGTTTTAGGAGGAAGGAAACTGGCAGGGAATTAGCATAGGGAGGACATCTGATCAAGGTCAGCAAGCAAGGCAACAGCTACTCAAGGAATGGGGGTCAGGGCCCAACAAACATACTCATTGGGGCATTCAATTTCATAAAAAGAATGAAACAACAGCAATAATAAAAATCTACTGGATGCAATGGCACAGAGTAACATCATCACAATTGGAGTGGATGCTTTCAGTACTCCATTGGTACTGGCCTTCTGGCCACAATGCTGGGGGTTCACATCTCAGTCTTCCTAGCAAGAATGGAGAGGACAATAATGCCTAGGGTTGCTTTGGGGATGGAAACAGTCTTGGTAATATTAACATGGAAAAAGTAACACAATTATAGAGCAGTAAATCATGAGAGGTTAAGTATATGGTCCTTAAAGCATCCTTATTCTTCTAGCTGGGAAAAAGAATAATTATTAATTGCCCAAAGAAAGGAAATAGTTCTGTTTCTTCTATAAAAGACAAAATAGAAAAGGAGATAAGCAGATAAGATAACTCACAGTACACTGAAACAATAATCAAAATTTTCAGGTAAAATATGGTAGTATGTTGACTCTATAGCTTAGACATGATTTAGAGAGAGAAGAGCACGCTGTTCACAGTTGATATAATTGTGGGACTGGCAGCATACCCTAACTTTTGTGCAAACTTTGCAGATTTGGGCACATGGTTAATGCATTATCTTGGGACTATATTAATTTGCTCGTGATATGTGGTTTATACTATAGTCGAAGTGTTTTCCTACACTCTAGGCGTTTTCTAGCCTAATCTGGGGAACTGCAATATATTTGTGTCACTAGACGGCAATATGTAACTTTGCAAGTGGATGTCTCCCATCACTAAATATATTCAATCAAACCTTAGTTATCCAACTTTCCCTACCCACCCACGAAGGTGGATAACAGTTGCCAACAGAAAAGATATTTGCATTTAAAGCACATTCCAAAATTGTACATTAGAGTCTGGGGAAAATACAGGAAATCCGATTCCATTACACATATTCTAGCCATTGCATATTTTATATCAAAAATAAATAAAACAAGATAGTTATCTAAAGTCAATAACACTAAACAAATTGTAACACTTAAAATGCTGTTTCAAAAGAAAAAAATGAAAGACTTGGCTATTAAAGACTTTTCAGTAACTGTTAAAAAAAATAACACTATAATCAGAAATAACACATCAAAGAGCCAGGCAGTGGTTGAACATGCCTTTATCCTGGCACTTGGGAGGCAGAAGGCAGGTAGATCTCTGAGTTTGAGGCCAGCCTGGTCTATAGAGCTAGTTCCAGGCCAGCCAGGGATACACAGAGAAATCTTACCTCGAAAAACCTAAAAAGAAAAGGAAAAATACAGCTAAAGTTGTTAGTGGTGTGTGTGTGTGTGTGTGTGTGTGTGTGTGTGTGTGTGTGTGTGTGTGTGTGTGTGTGTGTAAGTCAGTCCCTTGCTATGTAACCCATACAAGCAGCAAATCTGTAGTGCTCTTGACTCAGATTCCTGAGTGCTAAGATGCCTGGCTTCAAAGTAGTCTGTACTGTCCTAAGAAAACTTGAAATCCACATCACTAATGACTGTCCTTACTCATTATTTTATTCCAGCTCCTTTATCTCTATTAGTACTTTGGTTGGATCACATGGAATTTCCAATATCTGACTATTTTGCCTGATAAAATCAGAATTCTGTATACACCAACTATACTAGTAACTTTTACAGGTTTCCCTTGGCTCATACTGCAGAGGGGTTTCCACTGGTTCACACTGAAGTGGGGTTTCCCCTCGTTCACACTGAAGCAGGGTTTCCTCTGGCTCACACTGAAGTTAAAATCCATCATGGTAGCAGGATCATGAATCAGAGCGGGGCGGGGCGGGGTGGGGGTCTAGAGCTCAAAGTCATCTTGAGTAAGTTAGTCATCTTGAGTAAGTTCCAGGCAAAGCAGTTCATGCTGGTTTCCTGGTCCTCTTTCTGAACACAGCATAGCATGTTTTGGGAGTGACTGATTCTCCACAGCCCTTACCATCTAGGTTCTATGAAAATGGAGATTCATAGTCTGCCTCCCTAGGAAGCAGGAACAACTGGTACCATGGGGACAGGCTCAAACCCTTGGAGAGAATGGCTTCTGAGAAGACTTCCCACTTGTCACGTCTCAGATACATAAAATAAATAAAAATTGACCACCCCCCTAGAGAGATCAACATTTCCCAGGTTCGCAATGAATTTTTGTTCTTCAACAAAACCTCTGTAATATTTAATCGATTCTCCACATAAGAAAACAGAATATAAAACAATAATATTGGATTTGATTATAAAGATGAGTTATTCTGCTTTTCAATGGTCCACCAAATTCCTTCTTAAAATATGTTAATTTTAGGGAGAAAATGCTCTTTTTGCCTTTTTCTTATTCAAACAAAGGAGGAATTTCCTTTTTTATTTTTTTTTTTTATACATTTGGCTCTTTTAAAATAATTTTAGTTCCATCAGGGCAATGTATCCTCTATCACATCCACCTACTTATCAATGAGGCTAAGTGACTTCATCCAACAGCAGTAAATACTTAGCAGTATCCCAAAGAGCAGAAGATAGGAGATGAGGAAAACCAATAGGAAGCCACGATGAACAGCTTTTCTTCAGGATAACCACACAGATACTGCTCTTTCGAGTAACATTATAGCACATCCAAAACAATACTAAGTTGTTTTAAACCAAGGGCAATAAGAGAACTATTCAATTTCCAACTAATTAAAAACCATTCTATAAGTTTCATTATGACCCAGACTAACTTCAGAAATATACCATAACCATTTTTTAAACGTAACATCGGTAGCATTGATAATAGATCTTTCTCTCAAAGGGAAGAGCAAATCGGAGCCCTTTCAATCTGTTCTCTGAGTAGGTAAATAGCAAGGCATACTCACAGTTCACAATGTCACCTCGAAGTTCCAGAATCTGAGGAGCTGGCATGGTGAGGACAACAAGGTCAAACTGCTCAGGGGAGCCTGTCTCCTTGGAGACTTCCCACTTGTTATTTCTCAGGTTGATCTGGGTCACACGCTGTTTGAAGAAGACTTCTGCACCTGCTCCAAAGGCAAAATCAGGTGCTTGTTCCCAGAGCTTTCCACATGAATGAGGAGGAAATGAAAAGTCAAACTAGACCCATTCAGGTTAATGGATCACTCCTTAACCTTCTCTTCTGAAGTCAAATCTTTCTTAGCCTTCTACTTCAATAGCAATTCCCCCCTCCACCACTTGTTCCCCTCCCTGGGCCTCCAGTCGATGTTTGCTATGAAGGAAACAATCATGCAACACTACTACAGTGACTACTACTACTTCTTCTAAACCTATGTCTACTACATCATGACTAACTTTCATTAAGAATTTGTTAGCTCCCTCGAAATCAACTGAGCGAAGCTCAAATGAACTCACAGAACCTGAAGTAGCATGCACAGGGCCTGCACAGGTCTTCACCAAGTCTCTGCATATATATTATGGCTTTCAAATTAATGGTTTTTCTTTAATGGAACTCCTGAGTATGTAAATCAGGATTACATTGTATGAGAAAAGAATCTATTTTCAATAAAAGGGAAAAATATTTATTAGCTGCCTTAGCTACTTTTTCATTGCTGCAAAGAGACACCATGACAAGGCTACTTATAAAGAAAGCATTTAATGAGGGGGAGTCTTGCTTATAGTTTCAGGGAGTGAGTCTGCCTATCATGGTGGGAAGCACGGCAGCAAGCAGGCAGGTATGGTAGCTGAGAGCTTACATGTTGAGACAACAACCAAGAGGCAGAGGGAGAAGACTAGCTGGGAAGGGTGTGAGCTTTTGACACTTCAAAGCCCAGTTCCAGTGAACCACCTCCTCCAACAAGGCCACAACCCCTCCAACAAGGCCATAACCCCATCAACAAGGCCACAGCCCCTCCAACAAGGCCATACATCCAAATCCTACTCAAGCAGTCCCACTAACTAGGGACTAAGTATTTAAACACAGGTATCTATATGAGGGCCACCACACTAGTCAAACATTTGTTACATATTATACTAATTTATTTGTTACATATTATACCAATTTATTTCACAAATAAAGAATAGATACCAATCTGTTAAGTCATGACTTAAAACACATACAGGTGACGAGCAAGCTTGTCACCTTTGCAGACTCTATGAATACACATCAGTCAGTAAATGTATTAGCAATTAATTCTCACTAGTAATACCTAGCAATATACCCTTAAACAATCTTAAAATATGTCTGTAGGGGAGATTAAGTCCTCATTAAGGATCAGAACTAAGAGAATCACTGACTACTTTGTCATCCTACATTGTTCTGTTCAAACATGAAGGGGGGGGGGGTTACTAAGGTGCCTGGAGCCTTTCTGAGGTCTCTGCTTTGGGAAGGTACAAATAATTTTCACTTTTAACCCATACCTATTATGGTGATATTTTATTTGTACTGAAATGTGATTTTATTTGTATGTTAATAAAGTTGCCTGGGGGTCAGAGGCGGGCGGCGTTGGTGTATGCCTTTAATCCCAGCACTTGGGAGGCAGAGCTAGGCAGATCTCTGTGTGTTCAAGGATACAGCCAGCATGGAGACACACACCTTTAATCTCAATACCAACCATAGAAGACCTGGAGGTCTGTATAGATGGGCAGTGATGAGGAGGTCATGTGGTTGGGTTTACAACCAATGAGAGGGCAGAATAGAAAGTCAATAAAAAGGACAAACACACAGGATGTAGGTCTCTTGTGGAGAGGTAGGATAGCATCGGCAGTGAAGGGTAAGGTTTTTAATCTCAGCTTTTAGCTATTGCTCTGACCTCTTGGCTTTCATCTCTGAATTGGCTCTGTGTTTCTTAATTAACAAGACAGTTACATCTACAACCCATCATTTCTTTATCAGAACAAAGCAACTCTATTTAACTCTTTGACTTATTTGGAATGTCTTGCTCTACTTACCTTACTCCACGGTCTCTTTCAGACCCCAATTCAAACAAATAATTCTATTTTGTTTACATTGTCCTCTATAAATAATCCTTTAAAAAGAGAACTGTTATTGTTGGCTCTGTGTGTGTGTATGTATGTGTGTGTGTGTGTGTGTATGTGAGTGTATTTGTGTGTATGTATATATGTGAGTTGTGTGTTTATGTGTGTGAGGGTGTGTGTATGAGTGTATGTGTGTGAAGATGTGTGTGTGTGTGTGTGTGTGTTTGTGTGTATGTGTTTGTGTGAGTATTTAAAGGGATTAAAATCCACTAGCCTATAAAGTTCTCTGTGCTTGAGCTGAAGTTCTTGGACATAAATTCCAATGGCTCAAGGTGTTCTGTAAGTTGACCATCAGAAGTGTTGTAAGTGCTGACCCGAGCCAAGCAGCACTAGGAACACATGTGCACATTGCCCCAAGCAAGTCACAAAAACTAAATTCCAAGTATTAGGCCCAGAAACCTTTGTTTTTATAAGGTCCTTTATTTAGCAGGGTAAGTAAAGTATGATGCATGAAAAAATGCAAAGTCACTGCAGTAGTTGGGCAGACCTAAAGCTAATATGACTCCTGAAATATCCACCCCATAATTAGTATTTACAAAGAAGAGAGGAAAATTGTCTTTCTTGCTGCTAGGATCAAAGTTTCCAGGACGGAGTAATTTCCTTGTAGAAATAATTAATAACTTTCCTAAGACATGACACATTAAAATTATAAATACTCTGGAGAATAACATACATTTTCTCAACAGGCACTCTGAGCTTAGGAAATTTGATCATTCATAAACTGCACACAGAAAATCTTCAATGGCTTCCTACCACACTTAAGATAAAGTGTAAAATCTTCTAACACCATTTACAAAGCACTTACACCTGAACCAAGTTTAATCTTGTACTTCATCTTGCCACGTCCTCGCTCATTCAAACTACTCCCCAGTCATAGTTAACTTCTAATTTATTGAATGAACTTTGCTGTGTCTACTTCATGACTGCTCCAATTCCTGCTCTGTAGAACTCTAAACCCTTGCTTCTTGCCCTTGCCTCTTGCCCTAGTTCACCCTTGTTGACTTTAAAGTATCGGTGAAATGTCAATTCTCCTGTTGACACTTTTCCTGACATTTTTTTCAGCTCACCATTCCAAAATCTATGTCACATTTGGTATTTTTACTAAATATTTGTTCACAGTGCTTACATCCTCTTTAGCATTTACTATACATCTTTTATTAAATGAACAGTTTAATGTCTCCCTACCCCACTACTGCACTCTACGTTAACAGACAGGAACTGTCTTATTGTTCCGTTTCTCCACGTTGCACTTTTTCTATTCAGTCAGGAGAGGGCAACAACACCCAAGAAATGGTTCAACCCCAGTCCAAGTTGGCAAACTAATGAGTTTAACTGAGATTACTTACAGGCAGCTACACTAACCACTTAAACATCGTCAGGGAAGAGTGGAACTCGTGCACCTCCTGAGCTGAGAGGTGCCTTGTGAAGCCTTTACCACCAGTTTAATGAAGAAGTATTACTGGGAACAGCCTTGTGAGGGTCTTGGACCAGTAATCATAACTTGCTAAGATTTGAAAGACTGAACAGCCAAGTGATGCCCAGAGGACAGAATTCCACAACATCCAGTGCATGCTACTTAAAGAGAATTTTTAATTTTGCACATAGCTATATAGATAAAGACTACTCAGTTTTAAACATTTTATAAAAGCAAATGTGTTCCTACTATATAGTTTTTCATTCCATCCCAATTTCTTCCAGTGTGTGTGTGTGTGTGTGTGTGTGTGTGTGTGTGTGTGCGCGCGCGCACACACATGCATAGATACCTAGCTATGCTCAAGCATGTGGAAGTTAGATGAGGAATCGATGTTCCCTACCTAATTTTTTTAGGAAAGTTCTCACTGAACATGAAGCTGGCCACTTCAGCTAGGCTGGCTAGCTATCAAATTCCTGAGATCTTCTTGTCTCTGCCCTGTCAGTGCTTGGGGGCACAGGCTCTTGTTGCCACATCCAGCTTTTATGTGGGTTCTGGAGATTCAAATAAGTTTAAACTTAGGCCATCTTGCTTTCCCAGCAAGCCTCTTACCCACTAAGCAATCTCCTGTTGCTAGAGTTTTCCTGCCTGGCCCACAGTCAGGACAAATCTCTCTCACCCGCCAGTCCCAAGCCGTTCAAACCCGATCAAGTAAACACAGAGACTTATATTGGTTACAAACTGTATGGCCGTGGCAGGCTTCTTGCTAACTGTTCTTACAGCTTAAATTAATCCATTTCTATTAATCTATACCTTGCCACATGGCTTGTGGCTTACCGGTACTTTACATCTTCCTTGTCCTGATGGCGGCTGGCAGTGTCTCCCCCACCCAGCTTCTTGTCCTCTCCATTTTCCTCTCTGTTAGTCCCGCCTATACTTCCTGCCTGGCCACTGCCAATCAGTGATTTATTCATTGACCAATCAGCAACACATTTGACATACAGACCATCCCACAGCACCTCCCCTTTTCTTTTCTTAAAAAGGAAGGTTTTAACCTTTACACATCTCCAAAGTCAGCTTGGTATATTTGGGAATTTGGGCGTAGCTTCTCTTACTACTTCCTGCTGGAGGGGGGCGCTGTATCTTATGGGGAAACAAAGAAAATTTTAGGATCATGGAGTAGTCCGTGAGGCTGTATCATCTGAGCCAGTTGACTTGAAACGGTTCTGGATGTTGGATCATCTGGGCCATGGTGTCATCGGAGACCTTTCAGGGGGTCTTGGCTGGTCAAACCTGATGTGTCTTAATCTGGAACAGATCCATAGCCTCTGACTTTCTGTGGAAACAAAAGCAGAATCTCCTTTCCAAAGCAACATATCTTTATATCCAAATTTTGAAGTCAAGGTACCTTTAAAATATACATTTTGGCATAACTCAACAGCTTTTACAATCAAATGTTTTTCTTTAGTTACGAATATCAAAGAGAACATAATCCAGATTCTCTGTGTGGTAGCCATCTTTACGTGGCTTATTTTTTTATATTAGCTTGAGCCTATTGCTTTAAACTGTAGCCTTCTAAGCCTGAAACGGCGCTGGTGCTGTGGCTGCTGGCTCCGCCCACTTCAGCTTCTCAAAATGGTGGTGATACATTTTCTGCCAGCTCTGGGAGCCATCAACTCTCAGAAATAGTGGGTCTATGTTTCTATCAAAGCAGCGTATAGCCCAGAAACCTCTTTTGTTTTGTACTAGCAAAGGCTAAATCCACAATGTAGCTTAATGTGCCACTTGCAGAGGCCTCATTCTCGCCATACTGCAGGTCTAGCGCGCATGCCAGCAACCCGCCAGTAGCTCAAACCGGCAGCTGCCGCTCATTTGAGAGAGACAATTAGGAAGCTGTTTTTAGCTCCGTTTTAGAATCTTTTTTCTCAGGTTTTAGGTGGAAACTCTTGCCACCACGTTGGACGCCATTTGTTGTTAAAGTTTTTCTGCCTGGCCCACAGTCAGGGCAAATCTCTCTCACCCGCCAGTCCCAAGCCGCTCAAACCCGATCAAGTAAACACAGAGACTTATTTTGGTTACAAACTGTATGGCCGTGGCAGGCTTCTTGCCAACTGTTCTTACAGCTTAAATTAATCCATTTCTATTAATCTATACCTTGCCACGTGGCTTGTGGCTTACCGGTACTTTACATCTTCCTTGTCCTGATGGCGGCCGGCAGTGTCTCCCCCACCCAGCTTCTTGTCCTCTCCATTTTCCTCTCTGTTAGTCCCGCCTATACTTCCTGCCTGGCCACTGCCAATCAGTGATTTATTCATTGACCAATCAGCAACACATTTGACATACAGACCATCCCACAGCAATCTCCCTATCCATTTTCCTCCATTTTAGGTAGGAAAATCCAAGCAAATTTTTCTTGTCTCATTTCCCATGGATTCGTTTTAGTAAGCAGCACCTGGAAATGCTGAGATGAGACCTGAAGACATAGGAAAGTGCTCTAAATGTACTGATTGAAGATTGAAGACAAAGGAGGATTCACTTATGGTTTGCGTGCTACTTTATAGTATTCCTTGAAAGAACACTGCACTGGATAAATGTCATGATTACTTAGCAGGGAGAACTGTGGTAGAGAACTACACAGATTCACTTCCCTCACGTCAATTTTGGAAAAAAGTAAACAAATGAAAAGCGAAGACAATAAAAAGTATTATTATCCAAAGCCTCCAGAACTGATAGCATCTGCAAATTAAACAATCTTTTTAAAATAAATGAATCCTGTTTACTTTGACAAGTTATACTGCATATAGTGACCAACATCCTTTTGAAGGTACATGAAAAAATAAAGGAAAAATTAATGCAGTAATATTCCCTCCTGTTGACAGGACAAAACAAATAAAAGCTTCCCCCACACACTTTCATCCTCTCATAGCTGTTGAAAATTGATACCAATATATTATCCCCAAGATACCCAAATTCACCAATGCTCAAGTCACTTACATAAAATATTTGTAGGTAACTAACACGTCTTCCAATACACTTTAAAATATCTCTAGATTACTCACAATACCTAGAACAATATGAATGATAGGCCAATAGATTTTTATAATGTGTTGTTAGAGAATTATGGAATGAAAAAAGCGTACAAATTCAGTACACAAAAAACAACTATACATATCACTGCGCATGGATTAAAAAATGAGGTGAACCATATCCTAATGACAGACTAAGGGTCCGTGAGTCAGTGAATGTGCCTACACATCACTTCGCTCTCATGGAGCATACGATAAGTTGTGCAGCAACTTCATGTTTGTTTTTTAGAAATTTCTGGAATTGTTTTTCAGATTTTGGTTTATTTGGTTGTTTATTGAGACAGGATCTCACACTACAGCCCTTCCTTGCCTGGACTCACTATGTGGCCCATATTGTCCTTGAACTTGTAGTGATCCTGCATCTGCCTCCAAAGTGCTAAGAAAACATACGTGCCACCATGCCTAGCCGTTTTTCAATGTTTCTGAACTACAGTTGGTTTTGGGCATAGAATATCTGAATGGGGGAGGGGGAGCAAAATATACTCCACTGGTTCTGTTTCTCTGAAGAACTCAACTACACTTTCATAGTCTGAATCTTGAATGGAGAAATGGCCTAACCCAGAACTGTATTTTTTAAGTGTCCTGTTGTATATTCAATCTCATCGGCCTTTCTCATGTTCAGATTCTTGAGCCTTTCATTAAGTAATGTTTGACAAAGAAGACAAAAATTGTAATAATTCTACAAATAGCTGTGAAACTACAAATTTTTAGCTTACACCTTTCTACAGTAATCTTGAATGGAGTACTCAGCCAGATTACAAATATTCCAATATATATAGCTTGCTCTATAATAGAAAAAATAATTTATCACCCAAGAAAACCTCTATTTGTTCTTTTTATAAAATATCAACTTTCATAGCATTCATAAAACGCATATGGAAAAAATGAAAATCCTAATAGAATATGGTCCACTTATGAATAAGACATTCAAAGAAAAACTGCAAAGAGCTGGTTAACAAAGCAAAAGAGGTATAAATTTACTCAAAAGTTAGGAAATAAAAAAACAAAACTACAAAAATATGCTTTTAATCTATGATGCCAGTAAAAATTTAAAATTTCCATAACACTAAGGTGTGAGGAACATTCTCATTTTCTGCCGATGAGATGGTCTTTAAGAGTAACACAGCCTGTTAGAATTCAATCCTACAACCACATCAAGGTGAGAGATGGGAAACTGTTTGTATACTTAAAAGTCAAGACAGCTCCCATTCCTCAAAATATAAATATACACAAGAAAGTTGAATAAATGATTATACACACATACTATACTATTTTGGACATACATTAAAGAAAACAAAGCAAATTAAATTTGTTGGTGTGAAAAATAGGCCAAAGATATGAAACAAAAGAGGATACCGAATAGCTTATATAAAATAATCCACTTTGTTCATATTATAAGGAAACGAATATAAACAGATTAGTAGTAAATAGAGACAGCAATACAGCTCAATAGGAAAATAAACATTTGTTAAAAAAAAATCACACCCTGCAACTGATTCCAGGCTTACTTTGGAGGAAGGAAAGGCTAATTTCAAAGGAGAAGACAAGAGTATAACTATTTTTATAACCATCTATACGATACTAACATTGAATGCACAACTTTTATCTTAAAAGGCATTGAAAATCCAAGTCCCACCTGATTCTTTCAAGTAGTGCTTAATAATTGAAGAAATTCCTTGAGGGGCCACAAAGTTGCAATCTCCTTCTTTCACATTCATTCCTTCAATAGGAGAGGTCAGAGGTTCCAAAATCCCACGAGCTAACAGCTCCTCATAAAATCTGAAATAATTGCATGGAAATGTACAGTTTGATTAGCTCTGTAATCACTGTCTTGTCTTCTAAAAAAAATCAAATCACGCTATAAATCCTCACACGACCAACTCAATGTACACTGTGTTAAACAAAACTTGTAATTCAGGTGAAGAACAAAAAACCCTTCAAGAGTCTGTAAATTGTCTACTGACATAATTTCTATTTCAAGTCCAATTTTCTATATAAAAGTGGAGTCAAGAAAAGCACATGGAAAAGTATTATATGCCCCAATCTAAACATGCTTAGAAATACTGACTTTCATTACTATCTGCCATCTTCAACACTAACAATTACTAAAATGTATTGAGCTTCTTTTTGTTCTTGTTGTTCCATATATAATCTTATAAATCTTCACAAGGATCATAAGAACATTTATTTCACTGTCATAAGAGACTAAGTTTTAAAATGTGTTAAGTAAGACTCCGGAGTAGTGACTAACTTACTCTTGATGCTTTTTGGCATAATGAGGCGTGCAGGTGATGTACTGAGCTCCCAAGTCAGCTGTGCATCGGGGATTATGAGGACTTTTGGCAGTAATCATTCTTCCCCCTTAAAATAATTCATGAACAATTGTCAGTGCATTGAATGAACCTTTTGAAATTATACAAATCATCCTAGATAGTCTGGTGGCTTCATTGTCTCTGTCCAAATACATTAAAAATATTATTACTCTAAACCGGGTGGTGGTGGCATATACCTTTAATCCTAGCACTTGGGAGGCAGAGCCAGGCGGATCTCTGTGAGTTCGAGGCCAGCCTGGGCGACAGAGTGGGTTCCAGGACAGGAACCAAAACTACACAGAGAAACCCTGTCTCGAATATATATATATTCTAAGCTGAAGTCTTTATCATTGCTTATTGTCCTGGGCCTTAGGTCATTGTAATTTTTATTTGAATAAATAAAGGACTCGAGAATCATGCACCTCGGCCTCACAGTGTTACTAGTACATACTGTGTGAACCTGAACAACGAAATGGATGGAATGCCGGAATGACTAAGGAAGGCTGTTCAGTCAGGACATTCAGTCTAGACATTCGGAAAAATCTTGGTCAAGGGGAGGCTTGGAAATCTGCAGACGCCAGAGAAAGCTGCAAAGGCACAGAGCAGCCTAGCCCACAGGAACCCGGTGGGCCCAGGGTGGAGGGTGGCCGGCCTCCCCGGGCCGCGCTCCCCGGCCACGCGCGCGTGCACCCCGCCTGCCGGCGGCCGCAGCCTCGGGTCACGTGACGGCGCGCGCTCCGAGAGCCCGCGGGCGGGCGGGCGGGCCAGCGAGCGAGCCGCGGCGGCGGGGTGGCCGGCCTGCAGCTCCGCGGAGGCCTTCCCGCCGACTCACCTGCGTGCCCAGCCTGGTCCCACAGGGCGAGGTACAGGGGACCCGCGATGGCCTTCCTCAGCAGCGCGGCGCACAGGCTTCCGGTCAGCCCGGCGCCCACCACCAGCACCCGGGGCATGGCGGCCGGCTCTCGGCTGGCCCGGCGGCGGCGGAGGCGGCGGCGGCGGAGGCTCCGAGTGGCGCCGTCTCCCGCGGCCGGCCACCGTGTCCCCGCGAGGCTCAGGACCGTGCCCTGGGCGGGCCGCCTGCGCCTGAGAGGGCGGGGAACCCCGCAGCGGTGACCCGGACCCAGACAGCCCGCCCCAGCCCGGCCTGCGCCGAGGAGCTCGCCCGGTGAGTCCCCAATCCCATCGGCCCCCCGGAGAAAAATCTGGAAGGTCGGCCTGGGCCTCGGGAGGAGGCGGAAACAGCGGCGATGCCACAGCTGGATTTCTTCTGGAGTCTTAAGAGGCTGCTTCTGGTGACAGAAAAGGATTTGGAAATCAGGAAGATGTTTTTGTGACTGTAGTTCCTAGACGACAGATGATGTATCCTTCCACAAATTATGTGTCTTTCCTGACATCTCCATCTATGAAATGTGGGAAACAATGCTTCCTTTTCAGAGTTGTGAAGAATACAGGTACTTGGTTCACCAGAAAATTTTACCACGTCCACAAATGCTAACATCTGTGTCCGAATAGGTTCCCTGTGCACCAGGGGATATAATGGGAAGTGGATTCTGCCACCACCACTCACTGTCCTACCTTCAACTTTGTTCTAGAAGTTCTCAGTGAAACAAAAAGGAATGAAAAATAGGAACCATTTAAAATAAATTGTTACCTGAAAAATGCTGTGGAACCTTGGCAGTAGTAAATAGCAAAAAACATTTAAAAATCAAGTTTTGCTTAATGTCTACGTGATGACAAATGTTTCCATGTATCAAATTTTTAGTTGATCAGTTTTTTTTTAATCAAAGAAAAGAACTTCAAGAAAATATGGGTGAACCCAGCTACCCTAAGAAGGCATCTAAGGATAGCAGTAAAAGAACAGAAAAAGGATTGAATGCATAATGATTTGCAACTGTTTTTTTTAACAAAGTAGAAATAATAAATTTTTATGTGTGAAAATGAATTTTTTATAAAATCTTAAAAGACACGACAAAGCCAAAAAGTATGTATATCAAATAGAATTCTAAAAATTAAAAAAAAACCCACAAAATTCAATAAAGATATCTTTAACTGTTCTACATTAAAAAATAAGGAGTGGATCCGGGGGAGACGGAAGGTGGTGTGGACCTGGGAGGGGTGGAGGGATGGGAAACTGCGATAGGGAATGTAATGTATGAGAGAAGAATAAATAAATATATTTTAAAAATGTAAGTGTAAAAAGACTTAACGGTGGCCAGCAAATGTCCAAGAATCAGGATAAGACTTAATATAACTACCCTCATTTTGTGTCTGTCTCCTTTACTCTCGTTCTTTCCTCGGGCATCTTAGACTCCAGGAAAGTCTAATGGACGGACATCAGTAATGAGAGTGGAAACTGCAACCTCAGCAGTGGTTTTCTTACGGAGTTAAGAGCCACCTTACCAATCCTGAGATACTGGTCAGTCAGACACAGGTTGTCCAAAACAGATTAGCTGCGTGTTTATGCTCCCTACCTCAATTTCTGTGCCTTCCTTCCCCCATGTAATCTGGGAACTCCTGTTGGAAGGTCTGCAGAGGGGCTGAGAACTTAACCTCTGTCTTCCACCTTAATTGATTAAAATCCTTCCCTGCTTTCTCAGCATACATTGTTTGCTGTCTTGAAGTGAGTGACTGGACCTAACTTACTGATACATTTCAACTGCAGACCTCTATTAGGACTCTGGTAATAAAAAGATATTCCATGTTAGGAATTCTTGTTTAAAATACTAAATGCCTACATTTGTTAAGGTTAAAGCAAAAAATACTGACAAACCACTCAAGTGTAATGGATATCTTTTCAGGAATACAGTTTTGCAATATGTAAGAATCCGTTGTTTCATTGTGTTTCACATGTATTCCCTTTGTTTTGTAACAAATTGAAGGATCTGACAATCCTGCGGTATAACTGAGCAAGTTTGTGTGGTATCATTTTATCAGCATCTCAGATAATCATTATGCTCAACAGTATTTAATTTTTTTAAGATTTAATTATTTTGTATACAGTGTTCTGCCTGCATGTTGCCTTCATATCCGAAGAAGGCACAAGATCTCATTCATTATAGATGGTTGTGAGCCATCATGTAGTTGCTGGGAATTGAATTCAGGACCTCTAGAAGAGCAGTCCGTGCTCTTAACCACTGAGCCATCTCTCTGACCCCAATAAAGTATTTTTAAAGGCATGTGTAGACGAATTTGCTAAAGAGTCTTATTAAATAAAAATCCAGAGCCAAATATAGGGGTGAAAACCTGAGAGATCAGAGGAATAGGAAAAGCCACAAGCCAACCTCACCTCACCGGCACCTCAGCTTCTAAAGAGACCTACTTCCTGTATACTCACACCTATATGCCTTGCTGTTCTGCCACCTGATTTGCTGTCTCTGTCCAGCTACATTCCTTCCTCTACCTGCCCAGCTCTGTCACTTCCTGTCTGTCTGTACAGACCTCCATGGTTAACTAGTGTTGTAATTTAAGGCATGTGCTACCACACCTGGCTCTGTTTCCAGTGTGGCCTTGAACTCACAGAGATCCAGACAGATCCCTGCCTCCCAAATGATAGGATTAAAGGCATGTGCTACCATTGCCTGACTTCTATGTTTAATATAGTGGTTGGCTTTTTCCTCTGATCCTCAGATAAACTTTATTGGGGGATGCAGTATATTGGGAGACATAATACATCACCCCGGGCATATGCATTTTTGGCATGCTATTGTATACTTCATAGATTTTACTTTAGTGTAATATAGTATTAAGAGAACGTTTCATAAGTCAAAAATTTACATCACTTACTTTATCGTTGCATTTGTTTTATTGCAGAAATCTGGTACCTAACCTGTAATATCTCTGAGATAGGCCTACCTCAAAAGTCTTAAAACTGTCAAGCTAGATATTTCTACTGGAGGAAAGAATACACAGGTATAGCTTAAGCTTTATAAATGTATTTAATGCAATGCCTCTAGAAATACTGAAGTATACAATAAATAGATGATTGGTTAGATATGACTGTCCATATATCTGTATTAAAGACACACACAAAAAAATGTATGAAAAACTACTTCTCACATAATACTGATTAACCAGGCTACAAAATAGTGTAATCCCATACTTTTATAGATGCACACACATATACAATATTAGAGAAATACAAGAGAAGACATAATTTCAAATATATTGTGGAGAAAATATATTAGCCATTTATTTCTTAGCTATAAGTAAGGTAAAGCTAGCATGTTTGAAAGAATGAAATGATAAGTTACTGCATTCAGATTGATTATAGTCCAAGATAATTCTCTGAAATTAAAAGTGTAAATCATTGTTCTGGCCAGCAGGATCTTCAGCGGAGACCCTAGAAGGGGGAATGGCGAATGAAAGGGACAAGAGACACAGAGAATTGACAGCAAGACAGCATTCTGATCAAGCTGCAAAATTTTATTTTTCTCAGGCAGGTTTTATAGTAATCAGACCAGGAAACACTCTTTGGGAAGAGATCAGAGGACTGTTGAGTTGCTAAGCAACCCAACCACAAAACATTATTACTAATGGTCAGTGTAGCAGAAAGTTAAGGAAATGTTAAGTTATTTTCTAATAACTCAGGACTTGTCATGTCAAAAGTTTCTGATTAGTGGCTCAATACTGGACAGCAGAAACTTAACTCAGGCAGGCAATATGACATGGCTCTTACAATTGTCCCCGGCAAATCATGTGATATTTAGTCATACAATGCTAATGTCTCAAAATTGGCTAATAGTAAGGTGTGTTTGAGGCTGTGGATTCTGATTGTTGTCTGTGAAGACTGGTCTACATGGTAAATACACTTAAGTTAAAGGAAGTTTGTCCAGGGCTATAAATCATGGCAATAGTAAACCTCAAATGGGTTTCACCTTTCATCCTTGGAGCCTGCTTCTCTGAACTTGACCATCTTTCTTGCTCAATTTCTGTTAATAGTCAAATCATCTCAGACTATTAGGCCTGAAACTTCACAGTCACCTTCCAGGACTACTGTTTTCTCATCCATGGCATTGATTTATCATCAGGTCTTTCTGACAATTTCTCCATTGTCTTTTGTATCTGATTTCATGGAATATTAGAACAGAAAAGGTATCCAAATTACATTTCTGTCAAGGAGGTATTAAATTGCCTGGGAGCTCTTTTCACCTTATTCTTATGAACTAGACATTCCAAATTTTAAAAAGCAATTGTCTCAGTGTTTATTACTTGAATTCAAGCAATCATTAATTCTTACCTGAATTAGTACAGTCATTCTCTAATTGGTTTTCTTGCTCCCAGTCTCTATTTGGAACCTACCTTGTAGAACAATCATTATTGGTTCCACAAACTTCCACAGCTCTGGGTGGCAGATAGAGTTAAAGTCTTCTCTGATTACATTAGCCTAAAAAGTATTCAACGGTATTTCTACAATACATCTTTACATTTTGCTTTATTGTCTTCATATTTCCCATGGTTTAGTTAATGAAATTTCTGTTTCATGAACTCACACCCACGTTTTCCACAATCCACAGCAATGGAAGACCTTTGTTTATGCTGTTTTTGTTATATTTTAACTTCCGTTTAAATCTGACATTAATCTCCCACTTTTTTCTTTTAATTTTTCTGTGTATGGTAAAACAGTGTGCTCTTGTAAGTGATTTGTTCAGAATTAGAATTTGGTACAGCCACAGAATAGAGGTAACTTAATGATTTGTGAATTCTCATCACTTTTTACCTCCAGAGTGCATTATAATCTTAGTTGAGAGCTACTGGAATAAGGTAATGGGCCCATAGTTGACTGCTTGCATTAATTTATCTTTCTAGAGAGGTGGGAATGATGCTATAACCTAAAGAAGACTTTAGTTGCAAAACAATTTGAAACATATTCCTGTTCTAATATATTTACTCTTCCTAGTTACCTTTATTTTGTTTGATTACTGATCTGTGCAAGGTTGTCATCTTTTGTTTATTAAAGTCCTGCTTAAAAGCCAACTGAAAAAGGTCATCTCTAACATCTAAGCCTAAAATAGCCAGCCAGTGACTTCATATATTAGTAACCCATTTTAATGTCTTTTTATCACTTAATCATTTGGAGAAGTCATCTTGTGTTGTACATGTTTGTTTATTCATTGTCTTTCTCCTAAAAAAAAAAAAATCACCAAAATGGGTAGAAATATTGCCATTATAGTATCCCTGGAAATGAGAATCAAAGAATTCTCAGACACTGAAGTTCACTTTTCAGGGAAGATATACATGATTTTTGAAGATAATATATAAATCAGTTGAATGATTTAGAACTGTCCTTTCCCATAGAATGTGTTTAATTGTATAACATGACTGTAAAAATACACAAATGCCATTTAGCAAAGAACACACGTCATAGGGTGTTTGTTGTACATCTCTCTGACCTTATTTAACTGTACTATTGATTACTTGATTTCACTATATTATTAGTAAGTCAAATGATCATTGATGGCACAAGTGGCATAAAATAAAGATGTGTCCCATGTAAATGATAAAACTAATACTTTAAATTTTTTCAACATGCTGTCTATGAAATAAATTTAATAGACAATTGGGTTAGACTCTTTAGTTTTAATCTATATCTAGAAAACAACTTTTCAGAATAAGGGGAGAATATTCAGGATTTCAGTTATCCTTAAATTCATTATGATTGAAGCTAAGTTATGGTAAATTTATTATAATGCACAGAAATAGACAGCTGATGGCCAACAACATTTATATTGGCCAGATCAATACTATGCTTGGTAGTATTGGGCTCCAAATTTTAAAATTATACAGAAACTGGTGGTATTTCAAGTGAAAAACTGATAAAGAAGATAGAGATTTCCAGCCTAGAGAAATTTATATTAATATATGTGGAAAAATAGGGGAAATTGTGTATTTTCAATATACTAAAATTAAGTGACAAAACAAAATGTAGATAATGGATCTAACCAAAGAATATATTGAAATAATGATTAAAAGCATCTAAAAATAGACGTTCTTTGGAAGTAGCTGTTCCATTGGGAATTCTTTAAAGAGAAACTGGATTTGCACGTAGTGGGGATAGTACAAGGACTGAAGCACTTGGTTGGAGAAGAATGCTCAAATAAAGGCATGTGTAGGTAAATGAAGGTTTTCTAAAACGCTGCCAGCCAGAGTTTTAAGGAAATCAAAGTACTTTATTAGTCATTTGTAAGATGTTTATGGTCAACAGAATTTCTTTTCCTAGTTTCCCCTTCAGAGTAGCTTTAAATTAGCTTGTTAATTATTTACTTTTAGTTGTTAATTGTTTCATTCTTTCTTGGTTTAAGGGGTTTTTGGTTAAATATCTGATATTATTTGGTATATTTGACTTTTAAGTGTTTTCTACTTACAAATTCTAATATTTTTATTATGTTGCAGTTTTGATATTGTCACTATGATGGAGAGATCTTCTCCCAGTCACATTTATTTGTGGTTCTAATTAGACGTATTCTAATTAAACGTCTATTCTGTTAGACGTATATTTCTTTTTTATATTTGGGGAGGTTTGCCATAATTTCAACAAATAGATTTTCCATGTTTGAGTAAATGTCTCCTCCACTTCAAGATTCTAACTTTACATAGCTTTTAAATTCCAGCTTATATTTTTGTGAGCAGTTCTCATTCTTCGCATTTAGCATTACAAACCACCTCGTTTCTTTGCTTGGTATATATCTCTCATCTTTCTCCTTCCTCCTGTTCTGTTCTGTTCTGTTCTGTTCTGTTCTGTTCTCTTCTCTCTCTCTCTCTCTCTCTCTCTCTCCTCTCTCTCTCTCTCTCTCTCTCTCTCTCTGTGTTGTAGAATATTTTTAACTATGGTAAGTTATGCTTTTTTTTCATTTCTTTTTATTTTTAATGTTAGTTAATACACCCCTATTCCTCTCTTGTAATCTCTCCCCATCCCCTCCTTTGCTATTCCTTTCCTACTTTATGTACTTTTTGTTTTTTTCTTTTTAAAAAACCACTGTGTCCACTTAGTTTTGCCAATATATTTAAAATCAAAAGCCTGAAATGTTAAAAAAAATTGACTGAGAAAATAAATTCCCGAACTAATCCCAAAAGAACACAAGCAACTTAAGGAAACAAAAAATTCTAAATGTGATATAAAATTGGAACTAAATAAAGAAATAGAAAAGCTGGAGTAATGGAAGTGAACAACACAGTAAGTTGAATCAAAAAATTATGGAAAGTTTCACTAATATACTAGTTCAAGGAGAGGACAGACTATCTCAGCTTGAAGACAATATAAATTATTAAGAAGGTACAAATAGGATTTTCAGGATATGCAATATAACATTTAAATAAAATAAGAATCTTGTATATTATGGGACTAAAGAGATATATCAGAGATTAAGAGCACTAGCTTCTCTTTCAGAGAACCTGGGTTCAATTCTTAGCACAAAGATGTTTGCTCATAGCCATTTGTAACTCTGGTTCGAGGGTCTCTCTGGGCACCATGCCAGCATTTGGTGCCAGACATACATTCTGGTAACGCATCCATATACATAGATTAAAATGATTTTAAAAATTAAAAAGTGTATTGTATTCAGAAGAAAGTAAAGAATTTCATTCTAAAGAATAGAAAGCAGTATCAATAAAATTATAACCCCAAATTCTCTAAATTAAATATATGTCATTACAGATACTACAGATATTGGGGGAACCCTAAATTGACATTGAGGGGACAACTCCTCCATAATAGCATGACTAAGTTGTTAAATATTCAGAACAAAGAAAGTATATTGCACAAGTTCCATAAGAGTTCTCAATAGAGATGTCAGAAGATTGAAGCATTTATAATAACATATGGTCAAATTCTGAAAGAAACCTCAATTAAGATTACTATATCCAACAAACTATCATAATTGAAAGGTAAAGAAAAATTCCCACAGTAAAATTAGGCTTAGGTCATTCATGATTATTAAGCAGCATCTATAGAGTAATACTGAAGGAATCCTCCATACTGATAAAAGAGACAGATGCATGTATGAAGCCAGAAGAAAGAATAAATGTTTGAATAATTATTTAGCAAGAGGATTAGGAAACATTACAAAATCAACAAATGATAGGGAACAATTTTGTCTTTCAGTTATAACTGATTATCAGTGGACTTGATTTCAACATTAAAAATATAGACTAACAGAATTGACTTAAAGGGTAGGATCTATCCATTTAATCTCCAAGAGATGCATTTTATAAAGCACAGATGTTACCTTAGGGTGAAAGCTGAAACTCAGATAAAAGCAGACATGATTTTTCTAGTATCTGACAAAGTAGACTTCAAACCAAAACTAGTCAACAGTGAAAAGGCAAGATACTTCATATTCATTAGAATAACAACCCATCAAGAATAAATTAAAATTCTAGACATATATGTGCCAAACATAGGCACACTAAATTATGTAAGAGATACTGTTGAATGGAAAGTCACGTGTGAACATCTATACAATAATAGGAGGTGATTTCCATAACTCATTTAACCCATTGAGAGGTCATCCAGGCAGAAAATAAAAGGAATGTCAGAGTTAAATGACATCATAGATTAAATAGACTTAGCAGACATCTAAAGAATATTCCATCCCAAAATGTGCTATATACATTCTTCTTATCAGCCTATAGAATGTTTTCTAAAATAGATCACATATTATGTCATGAAATAAGTCATAACAAATATAAAAGAAGGGAAATAATTGTTTTCTATATCATGCAATGGAACAAAGCTACAAATTAACAGCTAAAGAAGCTATAGAACACACAGAAACTCATGGAGATTAATCAGGATCCACACTGTTGAATGAATATGTCAGATAAAATCAAGAAGGAAAGTGAGAAACCACTTACGAAAATTGAAATGAGCACAGAAGACACTGAAACAGGTGTGATATGATGAAAGCCATCATGAAAGAAGTCGTAGCTTTTATGTCCTCTATGAAGAAAGAAGGGAGTTTTCAATAAAATAATTCAACTTGGAAAAACAAGAGCATCCCAAGTTCAAATCAAAAAGTGGAAGAAATAAGAGAAGGAGGGAGACTAAATCAATAAATATACAAATAAAAGAGACATTTATGTCAGATACCAATGAAATTTAGAAAAAAATTCTAGGGTGTTTCTTAAAGGCCTATATTCCAGTCAATTAAAAAATTCTGTAAGAATTGGATAATTTTCCAGATGCATATAAACAACCATGATTAATCCAAGATGAGATAATTTAAACAAATTTGTAACAAATAGACTGGAGCATTACTAAAATTCTCTAAACTGAAAAGAAAATAAAATCCTCATTAGATGGCTAAATGGACTCATTACTCAATTCCATCCACTCACCAATGAAGAATTACCACCAATTGTTCTCATACTGGTCCATAAAATAGGAAAGTAGAACACTGACAGATTATGTTCATGGAGCCATATTATCCTGATACTCAAACCAAATGAAGACACAAGGAGAAGAAAATTATAGCTCAAACTCTGATGAACACAGATGAAAATTTCTTCAATGAAAATACTTGAAAAACTTTTAAGGATGGCAAAAGAGTCAGAGAGACACCCTCCTCTACATGCAGTCACACTTGCACTGTTAGGAGTCCCACAAGAGCACCAAGTTGCACCACCATAACATATATGCAGAAGACTTAGCTCAGACCTGTATAGGGTCCATGATTTTCAGTTTGGTTTCCGAGATCCCCTATGAGCCCAGTTTAGTTAATTCTGTGGACCATGTTTTGATGTTGTCCTCAACCCCTCTGGTTCCTATACTCCTTCCTGTGGTGGTATTGTGTTCCCCAAAATATTGTGCACCCTAATAAACTTATCTGGGGTCAGAGAACGGAACAGTCACTAGATACAGAGGCTAGAAAATGGTGGCACTCACGCCTTTAATCCTAGCAGTCCAGAGTCAGAAATCCCTCTGGATCTCTGTGAGTTCAAGGCCACATTGGAAACAGCCAGGCATGGTGACTCATGCCTTTAATCCCAGAGAGTGAGGGCAGAAAGCAGAAAGATATATAAGGCGTGAGGACCAGAAACTGGAAGCTTTTGGCTGGTTAAGCATTCAGGCTTTTGAGCAGCAGTTCAGCTGAGAGCCATTGGGATGAGGACTCAGAAGCTTCCAGTCTGAGGAAACAGGATCAGCTGAGGAACTGTCGAGGCGAGGAAGCTGTGGCTTGTTCTGCTTCTCTGATCTTCCAGCATTCACCCCAATAACTGGCTTCAGGTTTGATTTTATTAATAAGAACTTTTAAGATTCCTGCTACACCTTCCCTCCCCTCCACCTTCTAATGTTTGGCTGTGGGTCTTTGCACCTGCTCCCAGTGGTTGCTGGATGATTGCGTTAGGCACCCATAAATATACTAGAATATCTTTAGGAATCATTTCATTGACTTTTTCCGTAGTCATGTTTGGTTCAATGCTAGGTCTTTGGGCTATCCAGCCTCTGGTTCCTGGACCTCCAGGCATGTCAGGCATGGGCTCCCTCTTTTGGTGTGGACCTCAAGTTGGATCACTCTTTGATTGGCCACTCCAACAAGTTCTGTGCCATCAATACTCCAGCATATCTTGCAGGCCGGACAAATTGTAGGACGAAGGTTTTGTGATAGGGTTGTTGTCCCGATCCCTCCACTGGAAACCTTCCCTGGCTACAGAAGATGACTCTTTTGGCTCTGTATCCCTCATTACTGGGTTCTCTCTTGTAGATTTCAGTTATCTTTCCCAGTACTCTCTCCCTCCATTCCCCTCATCCCTGCTGTTAGTATCCCAACCTGCCCTCAGTTCACCTGCAAAATCTATTCTATTTCCCATTCCCAGGGATATCCATGTCCTATCCCACAGAGCCCTCCTTTTTACTTAGCCTCTCTGGGTCTGGGGATTGTAGCATTATTATCCTTTACTTAACAGCTAATGTCCACTTATAAATGAGTCATACCATGTATCTCTTTCTGGGTCTGTGTTACCTCACTCAGGATGATTTTTGTACCAAGTCTTATTGTACTTTTTTATGCTGTGTTCTGCTGATGTCCCTGAGAGGCCTGCTCTTTTCTGAGAAGTGGATCTGAGGGAGAGAAAAAGTGGGATAGGAGGGACTGGGAGGAGTGGAGGGAGGGAAAACAGTGATTAGGATGTAATGTATGAAAGAAAAATAAAAATAATACTTTCAGGAAGCAAAACTACTTATCATTAAGGTGACTTTATTCCAGAAATAACACAGGGATGGTCTGACATATTCCAAGTCAATAAATGTAATACATCATCATATAAATAGACTGAAGGACAGGAATTATATGATCATAAATAGATGGAGAAAAGGATTTTCATAAAGATCCAACATTTAATCAAATAAAAGTCCTGAAGAAACTTGGAATACAAGGAACATATTTCAACACACGCACACACGCACACACACTGAATTTTCAGTCAGTTTAGGTTGCAAGGAGAGTACCAGGCCATATATAATATACATATACATATATATATAATAAAAATATTTTATTAATCACATTATTCAGGACCTTCTATGAATCATCAATGCTGAAAATTATCTGTCAATGACTCAGATCACTTGAAATGTTTCTTCTTCCTCTCAAACCAGAGAATATTGACAGAGTGATTTATTCAAAACAGTGCTTGGTCCTCACAGATAGTCTGACGGGGAATTTGCACTGAGACTAGTGTGGGAGACCTGCTCCCACTCCCCCCCCCCCCCACCCCAGGGTACTCTTGAGGAGTGAGGGACAAGAGATTTAGATAGAAGGATAGAGGGGAGAGAAAAAGACAGAAACACAGGATAGCCTTGGGAGGGCCTGGATCCTTATCCACTGGTCCCTTCTGTCTCTTCTAAAGGACTTTTTAAAGGGATGCCAAGGGGTGGAGTCGAAAACCTCCCCTTAGCACAGCCAAGTGCAGACCCTTCCAAACACCTGGTAACCACGCACATGGTCAAGCAATCCTCTAATGCAGCTCTTCTGGGTAAAGCAAGCTCAGATCTCACTAGGAATCTTTGTGGGCCTCCAAAGACTAGTGAATAAGACTTCTTGTGAGGGGAATGGAGGGTGGGTTGGAGGGAAGGCTTGAGAGGAGCAGGAGGAGGGGAGGGGGGGATCTCTAATTGGTGTGTAAAATGAAAAAAAATTCTTAATAAGAAAAAGAAAAAAAAAAGTCTTGGGGAATCTAAGCAACAAGACTAATTGCTCTTACGGAGTCTTAGTCCTAATGTGTGAAATATTTTACAGTCTGCTCTCCAGACAGCATAATATCTGATATCACACTATTGGCCTGGCCTCTTCCTGCATCGGTGTTTTAGGATTTTATTACCTCAAATCAAAAGGAGGTCTTCTCTTCAAGGACGCGCATGTCAAACTATTTTTAAAAACTTACATCAATTAAGAAACAGTCACAAAATGATTTATTTTCTCAATGTTCATAATTTTTCACTACTACAAATGATCTAATAAATGAAGTAATAGCTTAAAAATCATAGATAATTAAGAAGAAAATTATCAAGAAAGATAATATTTGCACTTATAAAGCAAGAAACTTTCAGAAGGGTTTGTAAAACGTGAAAACTAAAGCAAAATTTCAATCTCACTTAGATTCATCAATAAGTTTTAAAATTTCCTCAGAAACCTCATGATTAGCACTTATTCCCACTATAAAATCAAGATGGCTAAATTCAGGAATAGTTTTATCGTATATCAAGTTAGAGATTTTGGGTTTCAAATTTGCAACGTCTTTCAGATCAGCCAAAAAGTCATTTCCACCACTCCACAAGGCAGTTTGAACATTCATGGCTTCCACATTGTATAACGGAGGAGTTGTCTAATGGAAAATAATAAAGAGCTTAACAGAAAAATGTAATACTGTTGATGGGTTATTCTCTTTCTTGACAGGATAATAATAGTGATGTGCTTATTGTGTCCATAAAAAATACTGATGATCTCAGCCTTTGTCAGGAAATAATTTAACTTTATTTTTTATATATTTATTTACTTTAGTTTGGGGCACAGCTACTTTCTAACTTTTCTATTCTATCCTAATCTGGATTCTTGTCAGAATCCTCTGCAGTCAGCATTCTTAATCCTGAGGTTACCAGGATGTGTCACCTCACAAAGACTGAAGTGGACTGTTATTCAGTTTTGAAATCATGTAAGTCCTATATTCTCTGAACCTTGGTTCTTTACATGTGAAATGACTATATCATTAAATGATAAATCCCATATAATTTTGTGACATTAAAATGACATGATAGATAGGATATTGTTTTTCACAGTATTATCTTATAAAAGATAATGCTATTTGTTTTTAGTCCTCTGTGCAGTCCACCTTCCTAAGAAAAATAAAATGTTCCCTTATTAAAAAGAGGGCTTTGGTTAGAGTTCTCATACTATATGCCTTTTGTAAGGGTCAGATTATTAAAACTGGATGAAAAGACTTACCTGATTGTAGTGTAGCATATTTAGAGCTGGACTTCCCCAATCATAAGCCTGAAATACACCTTTATTAATTGCCTTAAATAAAGATAAAACATAGTATTACTTACAAAGCCTTCTATTATAATAGCACCAGAAGTTATTGAGTTTTATTACCTCATTTTACAATAATGACACATTGGCTCTGATTAAACCCAGTACATTTTCTGTCTCAATGGTATGTACTGCCTGATCAATGGTTACTAAACTACAGTCCTAGAAAATTACACATTATATGAATATATATAAAAAGACCATCAAAAACATAAACTTACTTTTATAACACCTCAAATAAAATATACATTGTGAACATTTTAATATTATTTAAAATGTATCAATTCATATGTACTCCACAACCAGAAAAGCCCATAAGAAGCTGAGAATATATCATCCACAAAAGAAAAAGCTTAATTACTTAAGTATGCAAAATTGATGCATCATTTTATGCTATATTTAGTTTTAGTAGTATGTAGTAAATCTCAGCTTATAAGTATTTTAATTATAAAATGTTTTTAATTATAAGAATCTAAATTAATGCTTATTAGAAAATTCAAATATATGAAATCTCAAATTACTACTTGTAAAAGTTTCTTTACTGCTCTATAATTCAAATGAATTCAAAATATACTTCAGTGTTAATGGGTTACTATTTGCATTTTATATGTAACAAAATTTGTATCCTTCATATATAATTACATTTAAGTAGTTGTTCTGTAAAATTACACAAGAATTTTCAAAAATATTAAGATAGGTGTTGCCTAATCTCTGTATCTAAATGTAGAAAAAATAAGAATTATAGTGATCAAAAGTAAGTAACATAAACAAACTGGAAATGTTAAAGAGTTGCAGAATCTGAAATAGAATTTTGTCAGCAAAGCATTATAAAGAGGCATCTCTTAGGATGTGACATATACTAATTTATTGATAATGGGCTAATAGAATAAAATTTACCATGTCAATGAAGACAAATTTTATGCAAAGGTTATGTTTATGTATAGAATTTAAAAAGTATATGTTAGAACATAATTAAAAAACCCTTATAAGATGGATTTGCTCCCTATGTGCAGGTTCCAGTTTACCTCCTGTCAAATGACACTAGTATGAAGACCTCATTCTATGTAGAGTGTCTTCACTGTCACCCAGGGGATTCTTCTGAATAAGTAGATAGAAAAGCTATCACACTTTACTCGTAGACCTTAACGGCACCTACAGTTCTCATCTTGCACCAATCTGTAAAATTAATTACTAAAACTGGTGCTAATTTGACATAAAATGTATGTGTATAGATTTACCTATTGGAATAGAAAACCATTTTCTTTGAGAATAAAATGATACAACCACTGTGCTTTTATCACATTTTCCTACAAAGGTCCTATTTACTGATATACTCCTTTTAATGTAACAAAAGGGATGTGTGGTGATATATTGTGTACCCCAATAAAATTTACCTGGGGATCAGAGGACAGAGCCAGCCACTAAATTAGATATAGAGGTCAGGCAGTGGTAGCACACACTTTAATCCCAGGAAGTACTATGGCAGGACACAGAAAGGTATATAAAGTGTGAGGAAACAAGAACTTGCTCTCTTTAGACTGAGGATTTCGTAGAGATAAGGACTTGTGGCTGTCTGGCTTGCTCTGCTTCTCTGACATTTTAGCTTTCACCCCAATATCTGTCTCCAGATTTTCTCTCAATAAGACCTAGGCCCACAGAAATCCACAGGGGTCCCCCCACAGCAGACTGCTGGCAGTGGTCGAGAGACAGCCCGAACTGATCTACTCTGGTGATGGGATGGCCAAACACCCTAATTGTCGTGCTAGAAACCCCATCCAACTACTGAGGTATCTGGATGCAGAGATTCATGGCTGGGCCCCAGGTGGATCTCTGGGAGTCCAATTAGCGAGAATGAGGAGGGTTTATATGAGTGAGAGTTGTTGAGACCAAGGTTGGATAAAGCACAGGGACAAATGGCCAAACGAATGGAAACACATGAACTATGAACCAATGGCTGAGGGGTCATCAACTGGATCAGACCCTCTGAATGGGTGAGACAGTTGATTGGCTTGATCTGTTTGGGAGGCATCCAGGCAGTGGGACTGGGTCCTGTGCTCATTGCATGAGTTGGCTGTTTGAAACCTGGGGCCTATGCAGGGTCTCTTGGCTCGGCCTGGGAGGAGGGGACTGGACCTGCCCGGTCTGAGTCTGCGGGGTTGATCTCGGTCCGCCCGGGAGGCTTTGCCCTGGGGGAGGTGGGAATGGGGGGTGGGCTGGGGGGAGGGTGAGGGGGGCGGGAGGGGGGAGAACAAGGAAATCCGTGGCTGATATATAGAACTGAACTGTATTGCAAAATAAAAAAAAAAAAAAAAAAAAGATTCGTGTTACAGGGATGTAATACCCTGACCACAAAGCCAACTGGAGAGAGATTTTCTGAAACTTATAAAGGAGGAGAATTTCAAAAGAAAGAGATATATTTTAAAAAATTGTACCTGAGCATAATGTAGAAGAGTTTGAACTGATGTTCCTGCTAGACTGTGTGTTATATACACGTCAATGCGGCTCTGGGAGAAAGTCAGACACCACATATATTTGTCAGTATTTAGTTTCCTTTTACAGAAACAGACCATTCAAAAATACTGAAACTGTATTGCTCTCATAAAAACATGTCTTCAGGGCTGGAGGGAGGGCTAAGTGGTTAAGAGTACTTGCTGTTCTTGCAAAGGATCCAGATTCAATTCCCCAGTATTTACACGGTGGCTCACAACTGTCCATGGCTCCAGTTCCTGGGTATTCAATGACCCTACGCACACCAGATGGTGCACAGACATACATGCACATAGAACACTCATGCAGTATATCTCCAATCAGTTTACAAGGAAAGACTGGACTTTGAACATGGTGAAGAATCTAAATATTCTTGTTTTGATTTTTTATTAATTATTTGAAATTAAAATACAATTACATGATTTCCCCCTTTCTTGGTTCTCTAACCCCTATCACATACCTCTGCCTTGCCCCCTCTTACATTCATTACCTATATCTTCCTTAATTGATGTTACATATTCCTAAACATATAAATACAATCTTCTCAAGTCATATAACATTACTTGTATGCCTGTGACTTCATGGCTCACCCCTGAGTTTTATTAAGTAGGTTTCGTGCACACACCAGTGGTTGAATGTGAGCTTCTCAAGAGAGTTGACTCTAATTTTATTTATTTATTTATTTGTTTGTTTGTTTAATCATTTATTCATTATTCTCTTATGTATTATATCCTGGCCAAATTCCCTCCTTCCCTCCTAGTACAATCCCTGACATCCTCTCCCCCCAGGTCTACGCCTCCAGAAAAGGGCAGGCCTCCCAGGGATATCAGCCAAACAGGGCAGATCAAGGCAATAAGACTAAGCACCTCCCGTCACATTAAGGCTGAAGGAAGCAACCCAAACTCTAGTTGTCTTAAGAATCACTATAAACATATATTTTGTGGATTTTGATGTTAAATTGTTCAAAGAATGTAACATGCTATGAAGATCAAAGATTAAGCAGAGTTTAGCTATTAACAAAACTATAAGCCAGTTTATTGTCTTCTCTTAAAGGATTTTGTTTTGTTAATGATTCATATTTTATATGATAGTTTATGTGGAAATAGTCTTAGTTCTGAAGCAGAAGTGTTGAACTGGATGATCAGTTACAGATGAGTGACAGCAGATGCATTAAACCAAGGTGAGTAGAAGAAAAAGATGAAACTCATTCATACATGACACCCAGTTATTCATTTATATGTGGTGTATACCAGATTTTCTATGTTGATAACTTGGGAATTGTATGCAAAGCACATCTTGACTTTAACACAGATCATACTGAATGAATTAAAGATTAATTGCCATATAGACTTGTTATCTCATCTGCATGAAAAAACAATGAATTTGAAAGAAAACATCACATACCTTATTTAATTGCCCTGGGGAATATCCACCCAGCGATCCTAATAGAGCAGCGCATGCAGTATTGATTACCATAACATTGCATATGTATCCGGACAGCTTACTGAAAGCAGCAGTGGGTAAAAACTCTTTTTCACCAAAAAGGAGCTGAAATTGACAAATTTGAAGAGTAGCTCTTAGTCTGGGAAAGTGTTTTGTGTAGTAGAAAGCACAAAGTTTATAGGGGGTGAGAGGCCTAAAACAAAGCTATAGCATGTTACTGAAGGGTAGACTGGCTTAGTTTATTATTATGACATTCAGTACATAAACATCCTATCAAATGTACTAGACTTTTAAAAAAAAATCAGTTTCAGTTGAATAAAAACTTCTGAGAATCACGAGCATTGTGGTTGGCCAGCAGTCTCTCTGTTTTTATCTTGTGGAGAAGTTACTCAGGGTTAATGACAGGCAGGCTTGCTAAGTTAAACAGGACACGGAAATTTTGGGGTATGCTTATACTATGAAAACAGGTCCACACAAAAAGTTTTAAATGAGCAAAACTATAAAAACACTGACACTAACAGCATTAATGTATGACATTCCCAAAATAAAAAATTAAATCAGTGAGAAGCAGATAGAGATAAAAGAAAAATACAATCATTCTAGAGAAAGTGCATAAGACGATACTCAGGCTGCCCAAACTTGAGGTGAGATTCACTGTAGCCATTCAAGTGAGGCTATCCAGGTGAGTCAGCACTGGACTGTACGGGCAGATCTCTTCTTTAACAAGCTAATTTTGAAGTAAACCACCACTTTGAATTCACCACAAACCTTAAAAGCCGTTGGAGTGAAGTAAGATGGAAGGCGCCCGGTACCTTTGATATATGAAACAGTAGCAACTGGAGCCAGTAAAAAACATGTTTTAATCTTTTCAGCCAGTTGTTGATTTGTTGCAAATGCCCCCAGAGCTGAAAGAAATAAAAAGAGATTATTTTGCTTCTGTTCCCTCCTCCTTTAAATTGTCTGGATGGTTAGGCTATTCTACGGAGCTTATGCCTGTTCTTCGTCAGATATTTAAAATTGGCTTTGGAGATTTCCCTTACTTTGCTTACCAGAGTGCTATGACTTTAGAGTTTAAAATTTCATTCAATTTGCTTTTTCTCCCACACTGACTATGAGTTGTTCTGCTTATTATTTACTGACTGTTGGCTCACATATTTGAGTAGCCAGAGTGACCATATTTAAGGATCTGCTCAGCACTCTTAAAAATTAAACTCTTCCCTAACTCTTGGAGAAGACACATACCCAAAAGGTCACATATTGATTTTATGATCTGTCATTTCTATCTTCACAAGTCCTCTCTGTATCGGCTCCAGTCCACCTGTGCAGGTGAACACATATATACAAATCTACTATCTGTGTACAATCAATTTATCTATCAGTCATCTATCACACTATAAATTGAACAAATACATGAATTAGAAATACTTCTCTGGCAGTCAGACAGTTGGAACCATCTGTCCTTTGTTACATTTTGTTTGAAAATATATACTTTGTACAAGCTCAAACAATACCAGTAAAACCTGTTGAGAAACGACCAAGACAGTATAGCTTAAGAGCTCAGTGAAGTCGGACTCATAAAACTTTTCCTAAGCAGAACTGACACACCAATATTCCACATGTACAATGCCATATGAGGAGTAACACACACACAGTGAGTCACTAGTCTCAGAAATTCTGGCTAAAGAGAAATTAGAGGTATCTCACACATGTACTTCATTTAAATATCTTGTGTGTTAGAAACTATAGTTTCAACATTTGATGTTTTAAAAGCAGGTTACAATTGTTATCAGCTGTCAAAAAGCTTGTCTGTATTTTACATACAGTTGCAAATTATGCATATATATTTTTATTCTTCAGGATAAAATTTTAGCATACCAATAAGGGTGCCTTGAGAATGTCCAACATAGTAAATCTGCTTTTGTGCTGTTTTCTTCAGGATGAAATTAATGGTAACTGGAAGGTCGTATTTTATCATTTCATCATAACTGCATGGAAAAAATGGACAAAATGTGATCCAATTATTAACCAATAAGTAAATAGTTTCTGTTTCAAATGATGTCTTTATCGAGTCTATATGAAGGGAGACATAACTCACAAATGGTATCAATAATCAATTATTCCTTGCATATTTACTATGGTACTACCTTATAAGCATCATTTCTCCATGTTCACAGATTTCTCATGATATGTTTCTACAACTGTACACATGGCACAGAATTAAGCTAGCATTGCTCTATCCACAGTGAATAAATAGTTAGACTAATTCAGAGCACCTTTGCTCTAGAGCCAAATTTCTAAAATCCTAGGTTCTCCATATGAACATCATATTATTTAAGATTGGGAAGCAAGTCAAAATCTCCCTCAATCCCAGAGAGAGAGAGAGAGAGAGAGAGAGAGAGAGAGAGAGAGAGAGAGAGAGAGAGAGAGAGGGGAGGGAGGGAGGGAGGGAGGGAGGGAGGGAGAGGATGAATATGGGAGAGGGAAAGGGAAAGGTTGTTAGAGGTACAATGTTGTAAATGTGAAGGAACTTGTTTAAACAAATTGATAAGAATAAACTCCAGGAGATATTCTAGTACTCTGTGACCCAAAGTACTTATATGTACTAAATTTTACCCTTGTCTTTTCTCCCTTGCCTGTTACTCCTTCCAATCACAAAACATCAGTATCATCAGGCTGAGGAGGTAGTTCAATTTGGAAAGCAATTGAGGTCAGAGTTTGACCTGCAGGACCCACCTAAAATAAAATAGTCAGGTATGCTGGTCTGTGTCTGAAATTCCGGCAATGTAGAAGCAGAAATAAACATATCATAGGCGTTTGGCTGACCAGCCAGCCTTTTCTACTTAGTGATTTCAAGGCTGGACAGTGCATCTAAGGAATTACACCTGAATTTGTGCTCTGATCCTCACACAAACACATGGACATAAATATACACATGTATTATACACACAAGCATGTATACACACACACACACACACACACACACACACACACACACACACACACACACAAATCAGGATACACATTCAAAGTTAAAAGTAATGGAGGATGGCTGTATGCATACTTCTACATTTCCCAAATCATTGTTTTAATGTTTTATTTTATTTTATTTTTTAAGATTTATTTATTTATTATGTATACAGTGTTTTGCCTGCATGTATGCCTGCAGACCAGAAGAGGGCACCAGATCTCATTACAGATGCTTGAACTCAGGACCTCTGGAAGAGCAGCCAGTACTCAACCTCTGAGCCATCTCTCCAGCCCTGTTTTAATGTTTAAATATATCAAATTTACTTCAATAAAAAATTTTATAAAGACATGAATGAGGCCTGTGAAATGACTCAGTGAGCAAAGGCACTTTTTACCAAGCCAGTTGCCCTGAGTTTAATCACCAGTACTAACGTGGTTGAAGAAGAGAGCCTTGGTTTTTGGCCTCCAAATACACACTGAAGCATTTGTACACACACACGCACACACACACACACACACACACACACACACACACACACACGCACGGGGAGAGAGAAAAAGAGAGGTATAATTCTTAAAATAAGTGGGTTGATTAGAAAAACAATTAGTATTTCAAGAGTAGAAAAATAGGATTAAAATTAGAATTTTATTATAATTATTAAGCAGAGTAACCATAATAAAGTCCTAAACTATGTCATCCAAATCAATCTTCTAAAATATCACCCAAGTGAAATACCTTCAATCTAGGTCCACAGATTTATTCAACCATTAAAATATTTGACATTCTTTTAAGGCAAAAGTAAAGTTACATGGAATTTTTTCCTACCTAAAGGCCCAAAATTCTTTAGAATTTGGGTCTAGGTACAAGTGTTTCTTTGCCCAGGTATTTCCTCTGCTGTTCCCCATCCATACATCATAACCAGCGTCTGCTAGAATGAAGGCCAGACTGTTGTCGGGAGGATTGGAAACCCACACACCAGCAGTTGCAAATAAGCCATGCTGACAAAATACTACTATCTTTGGGGCTGCAAAAACAATCATGAAAATGTTTTACGTTAGTGTCTATTGAACATGAAAGCAACAAATTTCAAATAATCACAATGGAACTGAAAAGATTTTGAGGCTAGTGAACAGGGATGTGCTAAGACTTCATTTCACTTATGATGTCAGTCAACATTAATCAATATTCAACTGTGCAAAAGAATAGTCTTTCCTACAGAATCTCAGTCTTCAGTGACAAATGGAAACCAGGCTCCATTAAGTCCTCAACATTAACTATGGGAGTCAAGGAGCTCCAATTGCTCTTTTGAAATTACTCAATTTGAAGGTAACTATTTAGGAAGTCATTGCTTAGAGTGTCATTTACTCAGGATGCTTCAATATTTACCTCACTCAGATCTTACCTGAACTATTAGTGTTGTTTTTCCCATGAGGAATACGGTTAATTGGGAGGATGTAACCATCTTTAGTCACAACCTCATACTCTTCGCTTGGATAACCCCAATAGACAATAATCTCACTCTAGGAAAGAAAACACACAGTAATGAGTTATGAGTTTCATGACTTTTTTTAATACTCAGTCATGTTTCATAATTCTTAAAATAGAATTTTCTCTTGGAATGAAGTCATCACCCCTGGTAAATGTTCAGATTGTAAGAGATACAATGATTCAGAAAACATGAATGAAATGCATAGAGATAAAGCAAATGCATGTAATTTTATTAGTGGTAAGAGTAGCTTACAACGTTCATGTGGGATTCAGGATTCATATTTATTGCAGATATACAAGATATCTTTCCAAATACACGGATGAGGCACATTGTACTCAGCAGCCACCACATTTTAAACCTGCAGGGAAATAGTTATTGTCATGAAGTAGCTAACAGCACAGTATGAACTCAGCTTATAGCAAGTGTGTTATGTCCATATGAAATCGTCTATAACTGAAAGTTTTCATATTATATAATGAGTCTTAGATGAATTGTATACCTTTAAAAGAACAGCTTAGATGAAATTAAAATTGACTATACTGTTTATAACAGTTATCTGTCTTTCCCTTGGCTGTTCATAAAAATAAAATACTTCTCACTCATTTGCTAATAAAACATCACTGATGCCTCCTTGGGATTTATCCTGAAGCACCAAGATTAGCATATAATTTGTTTATTAATGACTTTAAAGAAGTTAATTAATTCAGAGCACTTTAGTTTTTGACAGTGGAATGAGGACAGTCAGAAAGATTAATGAAAAAGATAGCACAGGTGGATAAAAAGAAGCAGAGTGAATGAGCTTTCACATGTTGAAGCTTTGAGTACCAAGGAATCTTGTCTGGCCACCACATCTATCTTGGCCTCCTTTCATAACTATGAAGAGCATGCATATTCCACTAATGTTACTAGAATTTCTAAAATACGTGCTTTTTAAAAAACACAAACATGAGTAATAAGCATCTCTTTTCCACCTCCTATAAGTATTACTTTAAAGTGCTACTCTGTACACACAGTTTTAATGATCATATATTTGTCAATTCAGGTTGATGGAAGAAATGGACCCCACAGATAGTGTCCCTGCTCCTGTCCTCAGCACAGGATATGACTTCTGATCTTTCTTTTATTTAAATTTTTTGTTCAGCTCTCTAATATCAAGATGCCAGATAACCTGGAAAAAGGAAAGATACACATTAGCGCAATAATTTTATCAATAAAATCAAGGTCGTAAAGTTCAGCAATCATGTTGCATCCAAGGTCTAAATAATCTTATCTCTTTTAAAATAATGAACCTAAAGTAACACAATACACAAAGTTTAGAGTATCATACTCACTATTTTGATTTCTGTAGTCTGAATGAAAAATTAATTCTCCGTTTTCATCCTGCTCACCATAAATATATCAGAGAATGTATTTTTTGGATGACCTTTCCTAGTAATGAACAGTGCTGACTTTAACAATGAACTCAAGTGTTTGTCAATTAGAAGTCAAATATTGCAAATCACTAAAATTTGACATAGTTCCAAAACTGAGTTTCCTTAGCTCTGGGATCTTCACATGCCAACACCCTTCTCCATGTCCAAATTCTTAGTGAAGCTTTCTTTAGCTTTTAGACTGGAGAAGAACTCATTGTGCTGTACCTTCCTCAAAACTGTAGTAGTGACCCTTGTTCTTAACTGAATAAATTTGAAAGCTGCTGTATAGAGTTACAAAAGTCATCATAAACATTGAGACTGTGAATAATGCCATTTTTTTTTGTTGTTGGTTTTTCGAGACAGGGTTTCTCTGTAGTTTTGCGCCTTTCCTGGAACTCACTTTGTAGACCAGGCTGGCCTCGAACTCACAGAGATCCTCCTGCCTCTGCCTCCCGAGTGCTGGGATTAAAGGCGTGCGCCACCACCGCCCAGCTGAACAATGCCATTTTAAAAGCATTTTTCCTCTGTATATGACTTAAGTACAACGTGAGTACAAATGTGGGTGATGATATTTTCAGAATATAAAAATGACAAAGCATTAAAAGCAAGAATGTTGAAGACATTCAGGAACATGTAAAAATTTCAATAGGAAAAAACACACGGCAATCACTGAAAGATTATGAAAATATCTACAAACTCATATTCCCTATAATAAAGTAGAATATCTTGAGAAAATAAATTTCATTGTCCAGCAAAATTTCACTCAGAAATTTCTATCTCTAGCAAAATTTCACTCAGAAATTTCTATCTCTATATTCCTAGAAAAAAGTCTGACCTATTGATAGCAGGGAATGCATCTGCTATTGTTTGAATGTGACCTGTACCTCAAGGCCCATGTGCTTGAGGTTGGTGTCCAGAGTTACAGTGCTGACATTGTAGAACCTTTAGGAACTGGAATTTTGTTGAGGTTATTAGGTCAGGAGCACCTCACCATTATATGGATCAATGCTGAATCTCAGGAGGAGGTCATGTATGGTTGTAAGTGATGTTTCCAAAAGAAACTTTGTCATAAAAGTAAGAGAAAAGCATATCTGACTTGTCTCCTAGTCTTCCTTTCTAAATGTCCATGTGACCTCTTCTCCCTGAACTTCTAACTTTGTTATCATGCTTGGCATCTTGCATTCCCAGAATTGAACACCCACCATGCTCTAAAATCCACAGAAGTGTGAGCCACTTGAACTCCTTTTTACAGAGTATGCAGTGTGTGATGTTTTGTTTCAGCATCAGAAATTGGGCAAGATCATTGTTCAAATCTATTCTAAATAAAATTTCTCACACTAAATATAGCATAATTACAGCTAGTCATAAACTACATGTGGGGACAACCTATGGTACATAAAACTGTTATAAAACAAAATAAGTAAAATGTACTAGCTCACATGAACTATCTACTATTGTTACAGTCCTGTGTGAAATATTACAAGCCCTATCTGCAGGACAGTCTCTGTACTTCATAGCTCATCTCTTGGTCCATTCTTCCTTGTTTCTAGTCTCTGGCAATAATAACTTTTAACCTCTTACTCATATGCAATGACTTCCAAATTTCTGTTTTGTACAATCTGGTTCTGCTTGGAATATTAACCTTCATAACTTGTCTTCCTTGTTTATTTGTACTCTCCATTTTGAAGCTACCTCTTCATTGAAACTTTCACTGTGCAAACAGAGTGCAAATTCTAAGACAATCTGCTCCACTGTTGTTGTTTAATCTAATTAATATTTGTTAAATGTGAAGTACTCTAACCTATTTGTGAAGTGTTTTTCTAGTTCCTTCTATAATATACAGTTTTATGTGGTTCTGTTTTCTCTTTCTTGTTCATTAATACTTCCCAGTTGCATAGGAAAAGCACCTGGTAAAATGAGACAACAATACTTGCAGAGTAGAGAGCTGGAGGGAGAGTGGTGAATAAAAGGATGAATGGGTGTTTAGTCACAGAGAAAATATATTATTTGCCTTAATTAATTCATTCAGGAAACTACAGTTAAAACATTGGTCTAATCTCTTAATTCTCTGTAGGATAAAGAGAGCCAGCATCAGGAGTTTGATTTTTTATGACAGATATATTTCTTTGGTATATGCTGTCAATAATTTCTCAGATTATAAGGGAATGGTTATGATAATTGATCTCCACTTCTGCATTTGTACCTGTGATCTCTACCCGTGGTTTATCCTGTCTACACATATATTGAGAAGAAATTGATCAGATAAGACATCATCATGGAGAATCTTTATCTGACTTGTAAAAATGATTTTCTCTCTATTTTCAGAACTTTGAGTTAATATTTGAATATTGGATATTCCATCCCATGTTACAAAGAAACTAACTGATAGTAATTAATTATTCTACTATCACTATTTATGTTTACTTTAAAAATTTCAACAAACCATAGATTCTAATTAAAGTTAAAATGTAGTTGACTGAATTACCTATGCAAGTAATGTTTTATTGTGTTACAAATAGTCTATGGAGAAATATTGGAGAACAGAAATAGAGCTGATCATGGCGGCTCAGAATAGCACTCAGGAGGCAGAGACATGAGGATGGCCCATGGGTTCAATGTGGGCTGCACTACGCAGTGAGTTCCTAGTCAACCAAGGATATATACAATCATTCCTGCAAGTAGTCTGTAGAAGACCTAGGACCCGGCCTTTACCTGGCCACACAGTTCACAGAGTTTAGTGTAAAAATCAACCTTTCTTAAGAGGGTTTTTCAATAGTTAAAGTTTTTCAGTAGGATTTGACCTTGTCTACATGATAGTGCCCATTTCTTAATACATATTTTTCATACATATTCCTAACCACATAAAACATTAGTTTTATGTCTATATCTATCTATCTATCTATCTATCTATCTATCTATCTATCTATCTATCTATCTAGTCAGTGATTCTCATAAGCTATATGTAGTTATTTATTGATGTTTATGTGGATAAGTTCATTTGTATTGCAGCATGTTGTAATACAATTTTAAGAGAATAAGAAAGTAACATTAATTTGAAGTCAGTGAAATACAGATATAATAGTTCATATGATCAAAAAACTAAATGTATTTTACTAGCGACAAACAATAAAAAGTACTGAAAGAAATGAAAACCAAAGAAATGGAGAAAAATTTCAATTATTGGATTGATAACAAGTAAAGGAAAAAATAGACATAAAAGAAATTTAAATTTCTTATTATGTTTTCATCTGTGTTCTTTTAATTTATAGGACAGGCTATATTTTACAGAAAGGGCTACAACTCTAAACATGATTTACCTAAATTTTTGTTATTGTTTTATATTACATTAATTAGATTATCTATGATAGTCTAGACATGAATTTATGTGTTTTTCTAAGTGTTCGTTGGGCTCAAACTTCCAGTCCACCACTTGCTAAAGATTACCTGTCTCCACCAACATCCATGCTTTAACTTTATTCCCACTGTGAGGTATTAAAGTGTGGGGCATTTAGGAGGTGACTAGTGAATGGTTTAATGGTTCATGAATTTGTGGATTAGTGGGTTAATGATTATCTTTACTGTGGGTCTGTCACAAAAATCTCAATTGGATCTATTCCTTTCAAATACCCTTCTTGCTATGAGGTGTTTATACTGCCTCCATTTAGAGTCCTCACCTACTGGCAACATAAATAGATAAGTAAATAAAATAAAATAAAATAAAAATTCTGGCCTATGAACTCCTGGCCTCTAAACCATGAAAGGATAACACTTCTTGCTTCGTAAGTCATTCTGTCTGTGAGATCCAATTAGTGTAAAACAGACTTAGATAAAACTTTACCTTGAGTTACATAATTCTATTTTCCCCTCCTTCTCCCTGTCCCATCCCCTTTCTTCTTTTACTATCTTTTCTCAAGTATCTCGTAGACATTCTCTATCAACAAATACAGTGGTTCACTGGAGGACTCTGATAAATTCATCTCAGGAGAAAAGTGTCCTTTCCAAATAGGTTTTTTTTTCTCAAAGCAAAATGATGACTAAGCTGATTAGACAAATGTTATTTTCTCTACTACCCACCAGCGATCTAAATAAATACAGATTCTGATAGTGCAATGCATGGTAGAAGGAGGCTCTGGGTCCCAGCTTAACTCCCATCCCTCAGATGAACATTTCCTCTGCTGAACACTGGAATAGAAAGAAACAGGAGAAGGACTATCAAGAGCTGAGCACTGAAGTCAGATGCATTTTCATGGCACAGGCTCCCTGCTGCAGAGAACACCAAAGCCTTTCTTCTGGATGCCTTCTTGTTTCACTCATTGAAGGCTAGAACTTGTATATTTTTAAAAATGTATCATTGTATTTATTTAACCCATTGTATACAATTTATTATTTCAACATTGACTGCTTCAACATATTATAATGTTTTACATTATTTCTCCATAAAATGTTTTTTTTAAATATGTGTGCTTTCTTATTTTTTAAAACTTATAGCACATCTCAACTTGAACCTGTCACATTTTGATGACTCAGTAGCCACCTGAGGTTAGTGTCTACCAAAGATAACAATTTTTAAAGTTTCAAAAATGATGGGAGGGAGTGGCAACCAAAATTCTTCTTTGATTGCCTGAGAGTTCTGCTAGCTGTGAAGAACAGGAATACAGTGAGACCATTGTAGTTTAGGACACGGGTGTTTGAATAAAACATTATGGGGTTATATAACCATGGCCTATTTTCAAATGCTAGAGTAAATATTGATTGCTGGGTGACATTACTGTCTTGCATACTGAAGTTGACGAAACTGGTGTTCTTGAATGTCAGTTGTATCGTTTTTCACTGGCTAGAGTTTTATTCTTACATTTCTCCAGTGTCAGAGTTGTTCATTTCACACTGCCTATGCCAACTTCAAAGAGACAAATGGTTATAACTTTCTCAAATATGCATCCTAAAAATCTCAAATTCAGATATCAAAATGAAAAATGTAATATTATCAAAATCGCAGAATAATACAGAACATGCTTGTTTATTCCTCAGAAAAACTGCCTAGTATTGTGATATTTTAATTGTACTGAAATGTGATTTTATTTGTATGTTAATAAGTAAAGTTACCTGGGGGTCAGAGCTAATAGCAGGCCATAGCAGAAACTGGGTGGTGGTGGTGCATGCCTTTAATCCCAGCTCTTGGGAGGCAGAGCTAGGCAGATCTCTGTGTGTTCAAGGATACAGCCAGCATGGAGACACACGCCTTTAATCTCAATACCAACCATAGAAGACCTGGAGGTCTGTACAGACAGGCAGTGATGAGGAGGTCATGTGGTTGGGTTTACAACCAATGAGAAGGCAGAATAGAAAGTCTATAAAACAGACAAACAGACAGGAAGTAGCTCTCTTGGTTGAAGAGGATAGCTGCAGCAGTGAAGAGTAAGGCTCTTAGCTCTGACCTCTTGGGCTTTCATCTCTGCATTGGCTCTGTGTTTCTTATTTAATAAGATGGTTACTTCTACAGCCTAGTGTAAGTCATTACTGAATGCCATGTTGAAAGCAAAGTCAATGCCTTCCTACACTTGCACTATTCAATTTTCAGCTAAGTCCAACATGAGCAACCTGAATGTTCCTAATATAAGTTCATGGTAATTATAAAAAATGTCTTCTATCAATAAAACAGTTGTCAACCCCATTGTTGAAAAGCAATGTAAATTATTCAGGGTATTACTGAAATAAAACATTTCTTTTGTTTGTTTAAATTGCAAAGTTTATTTTTTTTTTCAGTACACCGTATGGGACATAAGTGCTGTCATGACAAATATTCAGAAATATGCAGACCAACATCAAACAGTAATTTAGTTTAAATGAAAGGAAATCCCTTTAATGTTATGACAACATACTTCCAAGCATCTCTTCTGATTCTATATTTCAATAAAATAAAGAATAATGAATTAAGTGGAAGACAGCTTGTGAATTCTTAAATATATAACTACAACTCTATTAATTCATGCCAGTTAAACATTGTAACGAAATTTCCAAGTTAAGCCAAAGGAGATTAAGCAATCAATGACCATTTTTGCTTAACCAGTCAAGAAAAATGGTTCCTACAACACAGCAGGCAGACCATTAGGCTGCCTGATCTAGGATGTGGTGTACTGAAGTTCAGTCTCAAATGTGCTAAGCTCTCATCACCAGTATGGCACGTTTAATCCATGATGTAGTTTAATGTCACGACATCACAATTTGTTGCATAAATACATAGATAACTGTGTGTGTATATATATATATATATACATATATGTGTACATACATATAAATACATATATACATATATATCAGGTATACTTTCACATACAAAGAAAGGTCTGGAGAAGGAACTTATGGGAAGTAGTCTGAGATGCATCTGTGCCATGAGGCTCTCCCAGTGAGCTGCTAGGTCAAACTGAAGAAAAGAATATTTTAAAGTGTCATCTAATTCCATGATAATAGCCTGGTTCCCACAATGGTAATAGTAATTGGGTGCAATAAAAATGGTAACCACATCAGATAATGGCATCAATTATATCCTTTTATTACAAGCAGGAGACACCAGTGTGAGACCATTGGCATTGGGGTGGTTAAATATTTCAGAATTATCTTGTCCAAATGGGTAGTCCTTACCCTGTGGTGAAATGCCCCATCCATCATGGTTATCTGGATGAGACTGTAAGAAATCATACACTGGGTCCTCATGTGGAACTTCTTGTAAATGATCCAGGGCTCTTATATGATACAGTGTATTTATGGATGGAGAGAAGCCACCTTGGAGGCAGAATAACCTTCTATCTACTGAAGCTATAAGTGGAAGATAATCAAAGAGATCTACAATGTATTTCCACGGGTTGATTGGCATTTTCATACTTTTGAATACATTCATCATTAAAACCATGTATTTGGGTGATCTGTCAGTTTTCATAATTTCCTTGCAATATTGTCATGCACTTGGTATAACACACCTTTAATGCTACAAGAGTCACATTCTCCACAGAATAATAACCACTGTCTACATAGTCACCCATGAATAGACAGTTTGTATCTGGTGATTTCCCACCAATTCCGAAGAGTTCCACAAAGTCATAGAATTGGCCATGCACATCTCCACAGACAGGAACAGGACAGCAAACCTCTTGTACATTTGATTCTTTTGTTAAGATTTTCTTCGCCTTCTAGCACAGCATTGAACTTGTTCTGGTTCAGCTGCTTATATTCCTTCAAGTGCTCCACCCACTCCAGCTCCTTGGTGAAAGACTTGTCTTTCATGTGTACCTTCTATTTCCTATGCAGCTGGTCAGATTTTGATTATAAAATCCAGCTGGCTTGTGTCTCTTGAATGTAGCTTTTTTGAACTGTCTTTCCTTAGAACCCAGGTGAGAACTACCACCACCTGGGGTTGCTTAGCAGCATGAAAAAGACTCTGTGCTCAGTCCCTCCCCAGAATTGCATAACAAAGGCCAACCAACCAACCAACCAACCAACCAACCAACCAACCAACCAACAAAGCATGCAAATGTGTGTACATGCCTCTCTCTCTGTCTCTGTCTCTGTCTCTGTCTCTCTGTGTGTGTGTGTGTGTGTGTGTGTGTGTGTGTGTGTGTAACAGCAATTAATGGAATAGAGGCTATGGGTTTTAAAAAGAGAGTTATATAGGAGGGTTTGGAGTTGGAAAGGAATAAGGAAGTTATGAATTTTACTATAATCTCAAAAATAAAGGAAATAAAATAGAAAGTAAAGCAGAATAGTAGACCACAATCCCTTATGTATTTCAGTGCCCTACGCAGACACAGTAAATTCTAGTCCGTTCATCATCTACAAAGAGAGCACTTGAGAGGGACACACTGTAAGTTTTCGTCTCAGGAAACAACTGCTTTCCAGATGTTTGTCCTAGAATTTCATCTGAAGGTAGAGTCAGAGAAAAGTGGCCTTTTTCAGACTCCAATGCACTTACAACCCACCATGTTCCTCCCTTATTCACACACCAAGCTTCTTCTAGTGTGTGTGAATGAAGGAGGAACAAAAAGTGTTTAGCTAGTAGTTAGAAACGTTGAGCTTTGCACCTCACCCCACTGTTGCCAGATGTGCTTAGAACATCAGGCATCATGGGCTCTGTGGCCCCTGCGCCCCAGAGTCTTTTTTTTCTGGTCACGTTCCTGTCTTCATTCCTGAACACGGAAACTTGGGAGATGAAAATTCTTGAAATAAAAACATCAAGATTCTCTGATGGGTTCAGAAAACATTTGTTCAGCCACCCGTTAACAAGATATCCTGAATGACACGTGCAATATCAGTCACATGCATGTTTAGATGCAATTTACATGTAGATATGTCCATGTGACCTGTCTCCAAATGCTAGGATTAGTCTTAGTCTTGTTGAATGATGCAGTGTTTGGTTTTACAGTATTTTCAAATTGGCAGGTTTTGTCTTATTCTTCCACTTCTCTTGTTTTATGCTTGTACTGACAACAGCCCTGTTTATTGTTTCTTCAATAGCATCATGGGGCAGCTCATCTGAAGTTGTTCTGAAAGAGCCCATTGTCTAGTCCAGTCTTTTTGGAATCCACATTCAATTACCACAGATTGGCAGCACAAAATCAAGAATAGGCCCAACTCTAGCTAGAGTTTTCCTGCCTGGCCCACAGTCAGGACAAATCTCTATCACCTGCCAGTCCCACAGTCGCTCAGACCCGACCAAGTAAACACAGAGACTTATATTGCTTACAAACTGTATGGCCGTGGCAGGCTTCTTGCTAACTGTTCTTACAGCTTAAATTAATCCATCTCCATTAATCTATACCTTGCCACATGGCTCGTGCCTTACCGGCATCTTCACATGCTGTTTCTCATCGTGGTAGCTGGCAGTGTCTCTTTGACTCAGCCTTCCACTTCCCAGCTTTATTCTCCTCCTTGTCCCGCCTACACTTCCTGCCTAGCCAATGGCCAATCAGTGTTTTAATTATTGACTAATCAGCAACACATTTGACATACAGAACATCCCACAGCACTTCCCCCCTTTTTTTTTTTAAAAAAGGAAGGTTTTAACCTTAACAAAGTAAAATTACATATAATTTGGGAATTTGGGCGTAGCTTCTCTTACTACTTCCTGCTGGAGGGGGGCGCTGCAGCTTATGGAGATACAAAGAAAATTTTTGGATTATGGAATAGTCCATGAGGGTGTATCGTCTGAGCCAGTTGCCTTCAAACCATTCTGGAGGTTGGATCATCTGGGCCATGGTATCATCGGAGACCTTTCAGGGGGTCTTGGCTGGTCAAACCTGATGTATCTTAATCTGGAACAAATCCATAGCCTCTGGCTTTCTGTGGAAACAAAAGCAGAGTCTCCTTTCCAAAGCAACATATCCTTATATTCAAATTTTGAAGTCAAGGTACCTTTAAAATATACATATTGGTTTAACTCAACATCTTTTATGATCAAATGTTTTTCTGTAGTTAAAAATCCCAAAGACAACACAATCCAGATTCTCTGTGTAATATCCATTTTTACGTGGCTTATTTTTTATACTACCTTTACTGTCTCTTTAAAGACTTTATTTTTTAAAACTATGTATTTGTTTCTATAACTCTATATATCATCTTTTTTGTCTCTGTCAAGCCTACGTATCTTTTACACACATTGTAAACTATTACATCTGAATCTGTCTTATTGTGAATCTATTGCCTTAAACTGCAGCAGCTGTGGCTGCTGGCTCCGCCCACCTCAGCTTCCCAACATGGCTACATTTACCACCAGCTCTGGGAGCTATCGTGGGTCTATGCTTTCATCCAAGCAGCATGTAGCCCAGAAACCTCTTTTTTTTTTTTTTTTTTTTTTTTTTTTGTACTAGCAAAGGCTAAATCCACCAAGCAGCTTAATGTGCCACTTGCAGAGGCCTCATTCCCGCCATACGGCAACAGGTCGAGCATGCACGATAGGAACCCACCAGTAGCTCAAATCGGCAGCTGCCGCTCATTTGAGAGAGACAATTAGGAAGCTGTTTTTAGCTCCATTTTAGAATCTTTTTTTCTCAGTTTTTAGGTGGAAACTCTTGCCCCACGTTGGGCGCCAATTCTAGCTAGAGTTTTCCTGCCTGGCCCACAGTCAGGACAAATCTCTATCACCTGCCAGTCCCACAGTCGCTCAGACCCGACCAAGTAAACACAGAGACTTATATTGCTTACAAACTGTATGGCCGTGGCAGGCTTCTTGCTAACTGTTCTTACAGCTTAAATTAATCCATCTCCATTAATCTATACCTTGCCACATGGCTCGTGCCTTACCGGCATCTTCACATGCTGTTTCTCATCGTGGTAGCTGGCAGTGTCTCTTTGACTCAGCCTTCCACTTCCCAGCTTTATTCTCCTCCTTGTCCCGCCTACACTTCCTGCCTAGCCAATGGCCAATCAGTGTTTTAATTATTGACTAATCAGCAACACATTTGACATACAGAACATCCCACAGCACCCAACCATGCAATATTTTTCTTTTTGAGAGACTGCTCACCAGGATATCATCATCTATAGCTACAAAACAAAACTAAAGCCTTCCTCAGGTTTTATTGCTTTGTTCTATTCCATATTGAGATAAATCCATAGCAAACAAAGTCAGATGACTCTAGAATAATGTCCTGATATTTATAAAATACTTCTATTAGTAGAACATTGTAACAGACGTTGGTAGAGCATGCAGGAGATTACCCAGTATCTTTTCTCGTATAATACTGGTCTGTTTCCCTCTACGTGCTGGTGGGAAGTAAATAACATAATGACCATAAATGCATATGAACAGCTGTCTTAAAAACATAAGGGATTTTAAAGACCTTTCAGTCATAAACCATGATAATCTATATGTAGTTAAAAGGAGAAAGATTTAAATGATTTCCACGTGGAGAGTAATTCATCTCCCTGCATGACATGTATCTGGAGACCAATCTATGAGTTGGTCTAAATTTAA